ATTTTGCCGCTGGTGAGTGATGGGGCAGTAGAAAGTCGGGGATCCTATACGCGATCAGATTCGTGAATTTCGGCGTTTCCTGCATCGTATATATTTCCTGGCCCACTGTGACCTTCAAGTGGCACCCACAGGTAAAAAGGTTTGAGATGCGAGGACCACGAAGGCGACTCCATCCGTCCATGCTTGCTCGATGGCCTTCACATGTCCATTTATATTCCATCGCATCGTACTGTCCCCTCTCTAAGAGCGCTACAGAATTGGCATTTTGTAGGCATATCACATGTGCGTGCCGTTTTAAAATGTGCGTTTTCTGCTTCCATCATTTCCTACAGACAATCGTAATGGGATTTTGGTGATTGTGAGACTTCTTTTAAATGCTTCTAGCAACCTGCAGCCACTGCGCTTGATGTAACTCAATCAATCGATTTCATTATTACTTTACATTTACTGTAGCCCGGCCAATACAAAGCTAGAGAGAAACTCGAAATACTGATTTACTAAAAAAGGGAAGGTTATAGAAAATAAAGATCATGAGGATGGACGAGGATTTGATTGATTTTTTTTACAGGTTATCAACCTTTTACTGGTTTAAATAGCCAAAAAATATTTGTTTGAATTTTAAGAAATTTTTGGCCATAATGATCTACTAATAAAAATCCTACTAATTAACTGATATGTCCCGGAAAATGATATATTTGTTCGAGGTAACAAAGTGGTTTTGGACTACTGTAAGCGAGTAGGACAAATCTAGCAAGTAACTGTAATGGACTGGTCCTCGTCGTAGTGTTAGGCAATAGGTGTAGGCAATAGGAGTAGCCAATAGACGTCCTCCTGTACCTCCACATCAGTCTGTATTTATGGCTGACACCAGCCAATCATATTACTGTGAGGTGGAACCCAGGTGTATGTATATTCATTACATCATTAACCCATAGCTACATGGAAGAAATTTACTATACATGATTAAAAAATAAGACATGACTTTTTTATTAGAAATTTTATTATAGCAAAAAGAATAAAAAAGCATTTTATGATTAAACTTTCTCGTCAAAATATCCTCCTTTAGTCTTGATTACTGCAGCACAGATGTCTGCCTTCGTTGAAAAAGTTTATCAAACTATAAGTTTGATAATTGATTGCAGTCTTTTTTTTTTCTTACGGTTACATTTAGCCATCTCATCTGTAAACTCGAGATCCATCCAACCAATTTTGCCCAAATCTGGCATATACATTGTACAATGTAAGAGATAGGTTCTTAGCGTAAAAAATCGATAATTTTAAAAAAAATCAATAATCGATGAAGCTGATCAAAAATCGATAAATTCAAATTTATTCCTCCGATTTCGTTCAACTCGTTATGTAGGTTTCTTACATCATGACGAGCTCAACGATGCCTCATTTTTATTTCTACGCCACTGCGTTTAACGAAAAACCGCTTAAAACGAAAAATCGATTTCAACACAAATTTAAACTAAAGACTCCCTCAATTTTCAAGCAATCTAAATATAAACTTCCCTCAATTGTAGCCAACAATAAGTTGATTGTTTAACAGTTATTTAACTTAATAATTGAGTCCAACGATATGGTGAAAACCCATGTAAATAGCGAAAAATGGCAATTTTTACTGGTTTCTTTCTTATTTTTTGTTGATCTTTCAACCAATTTTCATCAGACTTAACGGTTGCTTTATAAATGTATCCTCTTTTACATTCCTGGTAGCGCACTGACAAATTAAATCTCCAAAACTCCAAAATAATTATGGTCTGAAGGGGGTCTTCATGTTACCTGTTTTACCCGTTCATGTCCTCGGCTATCTTCGATTAAATAAATACAAACGATTTCTGTTATATCAGTAATTGCATTAATTTGTGTGTAAGTGATTCCAATCGTTCGTTAGATTCAATTACGCACAAATACCCTTGGGAAGTTTATGAATCCATCTCTTCTCCCCCAGGCTATGGGTTGAATAGCAGGACAGACTGGATTCTTTAGCCTTGATGGTAACCAGTCTATCGCAGAAAGGAATGGCAACCTACTGACGGAAAAATCTGCCTCGTCAGTCAGGCTTCGAAAGACACATGTTCGCTTAAGCGTTTATCACGTATGGCACTTAACCGACTGAATTATACAAAAATAAAAAGCGGAGTAAGCCAAAGATGTGTCTTCTCACCGGAATTATCCAACCTATACAGTGAGGCGATTCTGGAAGAATTAAGAGTTCTTCCAGGATCCATTATTAGTGACCATAATTTTAACAACATGGGGTATGCAGATGATACGGTATTGATAGCTAATAGAGAAATGAAACTCCATGAATTCCTACAGCGAGAATAAATGACAAAACATCAATTGCAAGAAGACAGAATGTATAGTTGTTAGCAAAAGGGAGACCCCAGCGTTAAAATTAAAAATCAGGGATGCCAAAATAAAAAATGTATGAAAATTTCAACATTTGGAGACTGTTTTAACAGTCTCCAAATGTTGAAATATATAATCAAGTATATAATTAGGAAATCTAATTCAGGAGTGCAAATTACAAGTTGTCATATCAACGACAGCTTACGACCAGCCAGTCTTAGAAACGAAGATATGTTTGGCCCTGAGCCAAGGAGTGGAGTGATCTTACATGTCAAATCTTGCCGATGATTTTGAGTGTGTATTGTGTGTGTGTATGTGTATGTGTGTGTGTGTGTGGATGGAAATGGGATGTTTGATGGGCTGTTGAGTGAAGAATTGTTGTATTGGCGATTATGACAGTTATTCTCATAGCATCTTGGATTGTTTCTCTCACAAGTAATGGCGTTTGGGGACCAGCTTTGTCAAGAAGGGGATTGGATATCATTAGCGAGCTAAGGGAAAAGCGGGGAAGGGGGACACAATATAAAAGAATGAAAGACAAATCAGTGAAAGAAATTGAAGTAAGAATCAGAAAGAAAGAGAGAGAGAGAAAAAGATAGAGAGGCGAAAAGAAAGAAAAGCAAACTAAGAAAAAAACTAAGAAAGTGCGACGCTGAAATCCGAAGGTGCCTTGGAATAGCAAAAGACGCCTTTCGAAAAATTTCGTTATAAACAAAGAAAAGAGTACTAAATTGTTACGCAATATAAGCACTCCTATATGTCAATGAATGCGGGACAATTTCCTCGCAGATGAAGAAGAGAGTTGAAGCAACAGAAATGTTGCTCTACTGAATGCTGAGAATATCATGGAATGACAATAAAGTTTTAGAGAAAAAAGAAACAAAAAGGAAACATAGTTAACATCAGGAAGAGACAGTAGAAATTTCTAGGGCATATAATGAGGAAAGAAGGCTTGGAAAACTTGATACTCCCATTGAAGTTATGATACGTCGACACATTTAGCCCCAGAGGGACAGAGGAAAACATCGCATAACCTATCTAGTGTGTTTGAGTAAATGGATAGCAGAATATGGTTTAGAAGACATAATAAAAAGATAAAATTTTTAAAGAGCTACAAAAGAACTGGTAGTTGTGGAGAGCAATGATCTGCAACATTCAGAAGGCACACGATACATAGAAGAAGAAAAAGATATGTATTGTGAATTATTTTTATCATAGGGCTGCATTGAATCTTACCCTAATATGCGCCACTGAATTGTTATAAACGGAGATATACCAAGTTTTAACTATATCAAAGATATTTCCGCCCGCAAAACTTTCAAAATATACGACATGAAACGTCAATTTTAGCACGAAAATATTCTTTGACTTTTATCATCGTTTAATCGCATCCTGATTGTAGATGACAAAGTGCGAAACTTTTAGCTGTGATTTTCAATAGAACTTCTCCCCATTCGTCGGTTGATCGGCACCACGATTAGAAAGTATATAATTAGGAAATCTAATTCAGGAGTGCAAATTACAAGTTGTCATATCAACGACAGCTTACGACCAGCCAGTCTTAGAAACGAAGATATGTTTGGCCCTGAGCCAAGGAGTGGAGTGATCTTACATGTCAAATCTTGCCGATGATTTTGAGTGTGTATTGTGTGTGTGTATGTGTATGTGTGTGTGTGTGTGGATGGAAATGGGATGTTTGATGGGCTGTTGAGTGAAGAATTGTTGTATTGGCGATTATGACAGTTATTCTCATAGCATCTTGGATTGTTTCTCTCACAAGTAATGGCGTTTGGGGACCAGCTTTGTCAAGAAGGGGATTGGATATCATTAGCGAGCTAAGAGAAAAGCGGGGAAGGGGGACACAATATAAAAGAATGAAAGACAAATCAGTGAAAGAAATTGAAGTAAGAATCAGAAAGTAAGAATCAGAAAGAAAGAGAGAGAGAAAGAAAGATAGAGATGCGAAAAGAAAGAAAAGCAAAAAGAAAGAGTGGATGAAAGACATCAAAGGAAGAAAGAAGTACAGAAAAAAAGACAAAAAACTCAGTTAAAGTAATCAGACAAGAAACAAAAAGAAAGAAGTCAAAGAAAGAAAAAGAAAGAAAGAAAGAAAGAGATGCGAAAAGAAAGAAAAGCAAAAAGAAAGTGAATGAAAGAAATCAAAGGAAGAAAGAAGAAAAGAAAAAAGAATGACAAAAAATCAATTAAAGTAATCAGGCAAGAAACAAAAAAGAAGGAAAAGGAAATAAATAAATAAAAAAGAATGAAAGAAACGGAAAGAAAGAAAGAAAGAAAGAAAGAAAGAAGAACCTTCTGTGAAATAAATTAAACAAAACGGAAACAAACAAATCAAAGAAAAAAAATGACAAAAAGAAATAAAGAAATATAATCACTGAAAGGAAGGAAAGAAAGAAAGGATGAATGAAGGAGACCACTCAAATAAAAGAAAGAAAAGAAAGAAAGAAAGAAAAAGAGAGAAAGAAAACTAAAATGGAAGAAATAATGAAAAAGAAACAAAGATAGAAAAGAGAAATCAATGAAATAAATCAAACAAAATAAGAAATCAAAGAAGGAAAGAATTCAACAAAAAATGGAAACCAAAGAGAATAAAATCAAAGAAGAAAAAATATCAATGAAAGAAATCAAGAAAAAAGAATTCCGTAAAATGAAGAAAGAAAGAAAGAAAGAATGAAAGAATGAAAGAAAGAATGAAAGAAAGAAAGAATGAAAGAAAGAATGAAAGAAAGAATGAAAGAAAGAATGAAAGAAAGAAAGAAAAAAAGAAAGAAAGAAAGAATGAAAAAAGAAAAAAGAAAGAAAAGAAAGAAAGAAAGAAAGAAAGAAAAAAAGAAAGAAAGAAAGAAAAAAGAAAGAAAGAAAGAAAGAAAGAAAGAAAGAATGAAAGAAAGAAAGAAAGAAAGAAAGAAAGAAAGAAAGAAAGAAAGAATGAAAGAAAAGAAAGAAAAGAAAGAAAGAAAGAAAGAAAGGGAAAAAAAGAAAGAAAGAAAGAAAGAAAGAAAGAAAGAAAAAGAAAAGAAAGAAAGAAAGAAAGAAAGAAAGAAAGAAGAATGAAAGAAAGAAAGAAAAAAAGAAAGAATGAAAGAAAGAAAGAAAGAAAGAAAGAAAGAAAGAAAGAAAGAAAAAAGAATGAAAGAAAGAATGAAAGAAAAGAAAGAAAGAATGAAAGAAAGAATGAAAGAAAGAAAGAATGAAAGAAAGAAAGAATGAAAGAAAGAATGAAAGAAAGAAAGAAAGAATGAAAGAAAGAAAGAAATGAAAGAAAGAATGAAAGAAAGAAAGAATGAAAGAAAGAAAGAATGAAAGAAAGAAAGAAAGAAAGAAAAAAAGAATGAAAGAAAGAAGAAAGAAAAAGAATGAAAGAAAGAAAGAAAGAAAGAAAAGAAAGAAAGAAAGAATGAAAGAAAGAAAGAAAAAAAGAAAGAAAAAAGAAAGAATGAAAGAAAGAAATGAAAGAAAGATAGAATGAATGAAAGAAAGCAATAAAGAATGAAAGAAAGAAATGAAAGAAAGATAGAATGAATGAAAGAAAGCAATAAAGAATGAAAGAAAGAAATGAAAGAAAGATAGAATGAATGAAAGAAAGCAATAAAGAATGAAAGAAAGAAATGAAAGAAAGATAGAATGAAAAAAGAAAGAAAGAAAGAAAGAATGAAAGAAAGAAAGAAATAATGAAAGAAAGAATGAAAGAAAGAAAGAAAGAATGAAAGAATGAAAGAAAGAATGAAAGAAAGAAAGAAATCAGTACAAGAAAGACAGCAAACAGTATTGTAAAATGACATAACGAATGAATGAATGAAGAAGGTAAGATGGAAGAAAAAGGAATAGTAGGTTGAAAAGGAAAGAAAAAAGATTGTGAAGAATAAAGAAAGAAAGAAAATTTTTATAATGAAGGATAGACGAAAGAGAGAACTTCACACAGGGAAGAAAAGGAAAAAAAAAGAAAGTAAAATGGAGAAGCAAACTAAGAAAGAGTAAAACGAAAAACAATATGAAAGAAAAATTACATTATTCAACTGCGACAAGGAGGCAGACACAGAACGGACACGCCTGTTATACTCTTTATCTTTACAAGAGTTAGATCAGACCAAAAATGTTGTGCTACCAGGTGATGAATTATTTTCCACCCTACAACCTCTAACAGAGATGAAATGTTACGAACCTCTCATTACTATACCGGTAATTCCATGGCATGTGTACTGACAAGCTACCTTCCTTATTCCCATCACCCCTGATCTTTAGAATTTGGACAACACCCCTTTCATATTTAGGGGACTTGTCACGGCATTTTGACTGTGGTACATTATCATGGCGAATAAAGATGCAACTGTCCATCTCTCTCATATGTGGAGTAAACTATTTGCCCATAGCTGGGACCCTAACAGGTGCTACCACCCCGGGTCAGGGTGGACATAGGAACACCAGCAATTAAGAAGTGGTTCTAAGCTCCTCAAAACCTCCTGATCATAGGCTTTGCTGTTGGATGTAGTTTATCGTCTTACCCAGGACGAGGATGTAGTTTATCGTCTTACCCAGGACGCGGATGTAGTTTATCGTCACACACAGAACGGGCACCCCTGTTATACTCTTTATCTTTACAAGAGCAAGATCAGACCAAAAATGTTGTGCTGCCATATCGGGGATGGAGCTGCCTCGTCCTCGCTTGCTTGTCTTGAGTTCAAAAGCGTCTACGCGTCCTTTTGGGTGATGAATTATTTTCCCCCCCTACAACCCCTTTCCCATAGCTGAAATGTTGCAAAACTCTCATTCTATACCAGTAATTCTATGGCATGTGTACTGACGAGCTACCTTCCTTATTCCCATCACCCCTGATCTTTAAAACTTGGAGACGCCCTGCCACATACACAAGGATGAATCATCCTCATTTCCTTCGTATTCCATTTGTAAGGAGGAGTTTTTACTTGGACAGCTTCTTCCTAAGGATTTCTACTTTGTGAAACAGATTTTGGGCATGATTTTTCCCAACCACTATAATCTTGATATCATCAAGACTAGAGTTAACCGTTAGCTTTCTTCCAATACTCCACGAGATTCGCTTATCACTTATTCAATACCACACATTAACAGATTACCTTGAGTGGCTCTTGGGCCTTGTATTTGGTGAAAATATTTTTTTTTAAAAACTGTAAAATTATTAATAGGTTAGTTGATTTTTTTTTAATCCTAAACATTAAATGTCTCTACTTCATTCATCGCCGATCGGACCCAGAAATTTCCCCAATCGCGATGAGCGGATGTTCCCTAAAGGGGACCCCTTGCCTTGATCGCCTATTGGGACTTAAACTCAACCCAGACCTCAGGTGTAACTTGTAGATATGATCCGACGCTAAAGATGCTGTACAAATGGTCGATTCTCTGTACCGCGCTAGTAAGCACCTGAATCGTCCTGCTATCCTCTACCTTTGCAAAAGCCAGATCAGGCCGGAAACGGATTATATATGAGTATAGTTGACCATTCTTCACTTTCTAGTTGCGATATGTATATACTAATTTAGTATATATATAAGTATATTTATTTCGCCCTCTTCTGATGTTTTTAGTTCTTTCTTTTTTTATTTTCAATTTTTTCCTCGGGTATCGATTTGTTTTTACTTATCTGCAAGTTGAGTTATCTGAGGTTTTCCAAACGAGTACTAATAATATATATATATATATATATATATATATATATATATACAAGTATAGGATTGGTGTATAGGGAATAAATTCCAATAACCAAAATACTATTCTTAAAAGAGTGCTCAATACAGAGAAGAGCAAATATAATTTATTCGAAAATTCTAACATAAACATGTTATAAAATCACTAAAAAATATAACATGTTTATGCTATAATTTTCGAATAAATTATATATATATATATGTGTGTATATATATGTGTGTGTGTGTGTTTGTATCTCTGTGTAGGTCGAGGCACTTCGACGTGGTGTAATCGTGAGCGATCTCGTCTTGCTTAGACAATTAGGACTGAGTTGTAGAACCTCATTGATTCCTTCATACTTTCGTCGTTGGGTTACGTCTAAGGTCGGTTTATTAAATCGCTATCGACATACGCTATACGCAAAAAAATCTATGCACACTTCAGCAAAGGATATTTTTTTTTTTTTGATATTGTAATACTAAATTTATTCAGACATCACGAGATTAATACAAGTTACCTTTGGACTCTACAATCACAAGAGATGCTTAAAATGGTGGCCTTTAGCTTCCAGGCATTTATTAGTACAGCGAACTACTGTTTGGACAACGTTGGCCAAAGTGTCCAGTGGGACTACTGTGCGCATGTATTTTCCATTTCTCGTCTAATGGCGGCCAATGTAGTCGGCTTTCTTTGATACACAGCATGGGTAATGACATCAGTCGAAGAAATATCGTACTACAGTAAACAGTGTTATCGCAATTTGATAAAACTACGAAAGACAAGGTTTTCCTTTCATGACGTGCGTATATATTTTTATGGCGGACTCTCTGTATGTTTGTGTGCAATTTTACTTCTGTTTATTTCCAATCTTGTGATCGCTAACTAAAACTTGTTCATAGTTCACACATTTTCTTTGTAACTTATATAGTAAGAGGAATTACCATAGCTATTGCGTTACCAAACGAATATCAACTGTACCGTTAACAATACCGTGAAACTAAATTCTCCGTAGTTTTCAACCACACAGAGCTGCTAATGACAGACGCCAACTCGGCAGTCATAAAAAGAAAATATTACTTTAACGTTGAACGTAGAAAACTATTTCATTATTTTTTTTCTCCTAATACACTAAAACTTTCATTGACGTCACAATTGGGACAAAAATAAGAACGAAAAATAGGAAAGGAAATAGAAAAATACTGACAAACGGTTTTACATGTCTGTGATCCACTTCAGCCGCCGTCGGAGAAGGCGTAGAAAGAAAGAGTTTCCAATGGTAAGCTAATGGATCCTACCAATTGTTCTGCCTGCTTCGACCCTACATCCGGGTTCCGGGTGGCCATTACAGTTCGCTAAGCCGTTCGACTGTGAAGAGAAAATTTATCCACAGGATCCTTTGTCGAATGCTTTTCCTGCAAACTCTCAGAAAAGCCATTAGTGACAATGAGATTTAACATTCCAAAGAAACAAGCTCCCGTTCTCCCATTCTATTCTAAATGGATTTGCATAAACGGATATGCAAAAGGTTTGCCTTGCACACACACACACACACACACACACACACACACACACACACACACACACATTATGAAATATAGTATTAAGGTAGGCTATATTTATGGGTTAAAAGTGCTCAATGTCCGGGATAGAGCGCAAATATAAAAGTGGACTTCATCAAATGGTGCTAGTCTGTTTTACACTTGAATGCGTTTGTGGTTATTAACAAGGTCGTGAGTTTCGTGTGTATTTTTTAGGTGAAGGCGCGTGTTTAATATGTAAACAAACACGACAGAAGAGGCATACAAAAAATAGTGTGGCGGACTTCACAACATTAATTTAAATTTAGATTAGGAAACAAAACTGACGTGAAAAAGGATAAGCAAAAGACATCATTACACATAAAATATGTATTTAACAAGATGTACAACGATGTGAAAGAAAGCATGCATTTAAGTAAATAAAGGTTGAATAAAACAAGTTTTGTCTCTCTTTAACTATTATTTTTATTTCAAAGTTCACTGAAAGAATGTTTATGAGAGTTTCTTGTAATAATTGTTCTCAGAAGATTTTGCTGTGTAAAAAATGATTATGTGAGTGTATAAGAAATGTTCAGCATGTGAATGGTGGTGTGAGTGAGAAGGTTGGCGCATGGTTTCAACTGTCGTGGATTCGTTTGGCAGCTGAATTCTCACTAATTAGCTAAGAATATTTCTTGCTCATACAGGTGACCATAGGCTCCAAATCGCAGCGCGGGAAGAATTATTCTTCACGTGCAGACGATCTGTTGTTACGGTAGCCTTACGTTCCATTGTTTTCGAATGCCATCTTTAAATAGCATGTTGAGATAAAATATTTCCCATGTTGACAACTTAGCATAAACCACTGGATTTAAGGTTCATGTTTTATACCTCGAGTATAAAACGAACTTCTATTTTAGGGGTAGGGACTTTTTTATAGGATGCGATGAATAATTTTTTCTTCTAAATTACGCAAAAATGAAAATATCAGTGACATTGCATTTTAACAGAGATATTCACCAAAATTACACAAAAATATCTTGAAATACTAAAGAGTAAACTTATTTAATAAAATCGCCATTGGCTTCAACCACGGCTTCCATACGACTTCGGAATACGCTGCAACTCTTCTAGACGGTCTCCTTCTTTAAGTTGGTGAATGTTGCCATAATCCTTGCATTCGGTTCATCTTTGTTGTTACAAGAAGTTTTGTTGTTCTCTTGCTCAACTGCGCAGATGTGGTCGCAGAAATTGTCTGACTGCCATGACTGAGTTCTCCTGCTTGTGTGGCATAGTGCAGAGTCCTGTTGCAAGACCAGAAACTACCCTCTTGACCCAGGGCACCACTGTCTTCTCAAGGTACTTGACGTAGGTCTCTGTATTGAGCCTGATGCCCTCACCAACACATTTAAGAGTTCATATTCTATCAGAACGATCAGAATTTGTTTTTTTCACACAGACGGCGCCCAACTTACCCTATTTACTGTGCATCTGACAAAATCAAAAACAACGCGAAATTAAAATATAAGATGACGACAATTTACCTATCGCATCTTGTATATGCATTTAAGTGTTTCTATGGTTCATCAGTGCATGCTGCTTAATATGTGTTTGTCCACATATATATACCAAACTTGGGCATCTCGATTTAGTGTAATGATCAGCAAACTTGTTTCGCTAATTACGAGTGAGTTCGATCCTCACAGACTACCCCATAGTTTCAGCTTTGTGCCACATCTAAGCTACGCTTATTAAAATCATGATATACACTTTTTATATATGTATGAGTGTGTACGCATTTGTAAAAATCTGAATTGATCTAAATATATACGTGTGTGATGTTTGTGAACAGATGTGTGTCTCATACCTTTTCAAACGCAGAAACTATGATCTGGTATCCATCATATAAAAATTCAAGATGAGGAATTAGTTAATACCAAATATTTGAAATACACCGACGTATGGATCAGTTATAATGAATTTAGTATAGAAGAAGAAGAAATTAAACACCGCAAATTGCTTCACAGCCAACAGATTAATCTGAAGAGTCGAGTAATGTTCTTAAATTGCTTTGTCGGATCGAGATTTTTATAAGGATGTCATGCATGGCTCCAAATTCGTATAGGAATATCTAAACTGTCAGCTGTAATGAACCGCTTTCTAAGGCTAATGGCTTAAAAAGCTTTGAGTGTGTGAAACCTGAGGCTCTTGGCAAATCAATTAAATAAATCGTATTGTAGGTAATCTATACGCTAAGTGATGAAAGAACCTCTGTGTTTTTTTTTATTTTTGAGATACAAAACAATATATGCATCTTTGGAAACATCTTTCTCTCTCTCTACACACACACATACACACACATATATATATTGGTATAGTTTGGCATCATATTTTCAAAGAGACATGTTTCATTGAAGTATTTAGAGAAGTTTTGTCTATTTATTTTCAAGATCCTTTCATATTCAAGGACAAACATTTTAGTGTCATTATTAAAGGCAGAGCGAAAATCACCATGTTGATAGATATTATTTTAGAATGATGTTTCGAAATTTCTGATGGAGAGAACTGCGTCAGGGTGCTCTTTTTCTCACAGACGGTTCCCAATTTACCCTGCTATACAGTGCAGTCGACAAAATCAAAAACAAACAACACGAAATTAAAATATAAAATGACGACAATTTACCCATCGCATTTATGTATATGCATTTAAGTGTTCCTGGTGTTCATCGGTGCATGCTGCTTAATATGTACTTGTCACATATATACCAAACTTGGGCATTTCGAATTAGTCTATTGGTCAGCAACCTTGTTTCATGGAGGGAGAAGTGGATTCATACCTTTAGCTTGTAAGCGAAAGCCATGGATTCAAGTGGAATTCGAACTTGGCTCTCCGGTTACTCAGTACGAGCCGCTATCCATTACTCCAACGTCTAGAAGAGTCTAGAC